AGATTGAGACATTTTGTTCCAAAAAATACTCTAATCAAAATGTATAAATCCCTCTTACAGCCGCTCTTGATATATGGAATATGTACCTGGGGTCAAGCTTGCAAAAAGCTTACTGATAAATTGCTCATTCTGCAGAAGCGCGCTCTAAGGTCAATATTTTTCGTGAAATCAATTCAAAGTGCAATACCGATATTCATTGAACATGAAATTTTACCAGTCAAATCTCTTTATTTTTATTCAGTAGCACAGCTAATGTACGATGTTAAATATGATTATATTCCCAGTRATATTAGCAAACTCTTTACTTACAGTAAAAGATATTCACTCCTATGAAACAAGATCTTCTGCCAGTGATAATTTCTACACTAGATATTCACGTTTAAACACTCAAAAAGATTCCTTCTCGCGAGTGGGTGCACGTCTATGGAATCAAATACCACCTTTCATTAGGAGTTTATTCGAAAAAAACGTCCAAAAGGAAATCAAAACCGTTTTATTAAACGATCTTAATATTAATCGCTATGATACTGAGATCTTCAAACTTTTTAAGTAAGTCTATCTGTAATGAGTTATTTTTCATTTTCTACTCAGTGAACTACTTTTCATTTCCTATTCAGCTCTTTGTACTCTGATTATTTAGTATTATTAACATATAAAGACATCTTTRTAAATCWACGTGTATATTCTGTGAATTTAACCTGCCTAGACTAGCTTTAGCTATATGCAGGTTATATAGTTTTTCTTTTTTGTATTCTTTTATTCATCAATAAAGTTTCAGTCAATCACCATCATCACCATCACGCTTATATATGATCCTCATCACCATCGTCATGATCATGATCATGGTCATCGATCTTCAATAACTTTCCTTTCACCATTATCATCGTTAATGTTTTCATCAATCATCATCATCACCGCCACCGCCACCRCCACCGGCACCGCTACCACCACCACGAACACCAATTCATCTCTAACATCATTATTGAAAGATAACATTGTCAGCACTATTGTCATCATCGTCGTTGTCGTCATCATAACCTYCACTATTGATTATTGTCACTTTAGCAAATCGAGGTCCCTTTTGTAGGTCTGTACTCTTATCGAACAT